CACACACACACACACACACACACACACACACACACACACACACCACACACACACACCACACACACCACACACACACACACACACACACACCACACACACACACCACACACACCACACACACACACTCACACACACCACACACACACACTCACACACACACACACACACACACACACACACACACACACACACACACCACACACACACACCACACACACCACACACACACACTCACACACACACACACACACACACACACACACACACACCTGAGATCACCTGGAGCCTGCTGTGTTCACACCTGTGTGTGTGTGTGTGTGTGTTTCAGGTCCATTGAGCCTCTGGGTTCGATCACCTGGACTGTAGAGTTCCACCCTCGTCTGTCGGGAAGCCGAACCCTCGTTGCTGTGATGGACTGTGAGAACCTGCGTCAGGTGACCATCTTTAATTAAACCCAACGAAGCATTTCACCGTCCTTTTCTTTGTCAAGCTAATTCAACATTTTAATTTCACCGTACGGAGAAGAAAGTCTCCGCTGTCTATATCCTGCGTTTATTTACCGTCTGAAACTCTCATCCATCACTTAAGGTTTTCGTTACTGCCGCTCAGAGCCTCCGTCCCTGCAGACGTAATCATTCAACATGGCGTCTGATCTTAGTTTAAAGGTGGATTGTTTGTTCTGTTGTTTGTTCTTCAGGTGATGGGATCTGCTACAGTCAACATCATGCCCTGAGATGCTGATTGGTCCACAGAGCTGTGACGCCCGCCCCTCGCCATTTCCGCCATTTCCGCCAATCACAGCAGCTTGAAACTGAGTGGGCGGAGCCTAACCAATCGCACAAATCTTTGATTTCTTCTTTAATTTCATTTAGTGCACAAATAACATGAATTTGATATTTTTGCTGTTGGAGGAAGCTTTGTGTGACATTTAAAAATGAGTTCAGTTAATAAATACTTTTTAACATCACTTCAGCTGGCAAATTTAGATTTTTAATTGATCTCAGTATAAATATGTGAAAAATCCATATCTTGGATTCTTGAAGTCGTCGTGCAAACACACATTCAAATAAAACCTTTGCTCTGCTTTGTTTGTGATGAAATTTACAGTTAAAAGAGTTTTAAAATGTCTCTGATTCACTTCATCACATTAAGATTATTTCCTCTTTCACTGAGTTAAATCTTTTAACCAGCTTCAGTTCTGATCATAACTCCCAAACAATATTCATTTTGAGACGTTTCACCCTTTCAGGGCCGGTTTGTTTCAATAATGTCACTGTTGTTGTTATTTAGGTTGTGTTCAATGCTACGGGAATTAATAAACAGCTCACACATTTGCCAAAATGTATTCTATAATAATAATAATAATATTAATGATAATAATAATAATAATGTTTTGCCAAAATCATTTTAAAAAGCCCCAAAAAGTCCCTTTGAGGCCAAAGTGGAGAACTTAACACACAGAAACAACCGACTGGACTCTTTTTGTGTTTTTAGATCGTAAAGAAAACAAACTTCAGGAAATTTTCCCCCAAAATGAGTCGAACTGTGTTTTCTCGTGTTGTTTGACCTTTGAACACTCAGTGTGATCCGTCAACGTAAATAGATTCAACAAAACTCGCCCTTTTCTTTGATAAAATGAGATTTGTAAGCTAAAGATCAGAGCTGATATGAAACGTCACACCTGTTCAATCATCAGCTTCCTTTTAGGAAATGTGATTGTGTTCTTTTGTATTAATGCAGAACCTTTCTACTCAATAAAAGCATTTTCAAAAGCACTGACGGTGTCGCATTCATTCATTCATTCATTCATTCATTCATTCTGCATAATGAGTACTTTTATTTGTTGTATTTCAAGTGTATTTTGATGCTTTTATACTTAAAATTCTGAATTCTATTTCTTCACTGTGGCAGTGCTGGAAGAAGTACTCAAGAAAAAGTATAAATACCACACTGTACAAATACTCCGTTGCATGCAAAAAGTACTTAAAGTATCAAAAGTACTCAGTATATATATAGTAGAGTGTTATGATATCATGAAATATTAAATAATTCTGTTTTAATCAATAATTAATACTTGTATGAGTATTTTAATGTTTGTCAATGTAGAACCAGTTTTAGATGTACTACTGGGTAGACTAGTACTATAGTACTGCATCATTTCATAACGTGTGTTTTTATGTAAAAGTAAATAAAGCTGACAGATGGATGTAGTGCAGAAAAATGTACAATATATCCGTCAGAGATGTAGTGGAGTAGAAGTATGAAGTAACAGATTGTATGTACTAAATACAGTACTTAAGTAAATGTAACTCTGGGCATGAGATGATTATAAGACAATGGACACAGACACGCAAAAGGCAAGGCACAAAACTCTTTGTGTTTGTTTCACGTCTCTTTGTGGTCGTTTTGAGTCTCTGTGTTTGTTTCACGTCTCTTTGTAGTCGTTTAACGTCTCTTTGTGTTTGTTTCATGTCTCTTTGTGGTCGTTTTGAGTCTCTTTGTGGTCGTTTAACGTCTCTTTGTGTTTGTTTCATGTCTCTTTGTGGTCGTTGTGAGTCTCTTTGTAGTCGTTTAACGTCTCTTTGTGGTCGTTGTGAGTTTTGTTTCATGTCTCTTTGTGGTCGTTTTGAGTCTCTTTGTAGTCGTTTAACGTCTCTTTGTGGTCGTTTTGAGTCTCTTCCTGGGTGGTTCGTGTCTTTGAGTGACATTTTGTGGATGAAGTTCAGAGGAGCCCTCAACACTCTTGGCCCCTGGGCCTGGTAGTCCTGTTCAGTATTCCATCTGAGTACTTCTTACAGTACTGCCACAGTGTAGAAATACAAGTAAACGTCCTGCACTCAAAATGGTACTTAAGATATTGATGCATTAATGTGTTCATCACTTGAATGTTGCAGCTGAGCTCATTTTAATGACTTTATATACTGCTGGTACTGAAGTTATCAGATAGAAATATAAAGTAGCAGACAATGGAAATACTCAAGTAAAGTACCTCATACTGGTACCTCAGAACTTGAGTCCTTCACAGTTTCTGCTCCTCTAACAAACGGACCTTGTTGTTGTGTAACCAGCTGCAGTCACCACTAGGAGGAGCCAGCAGCCTTTTATCCTCCACTGACCTGCAGACTTGAACGCACCACACATTATTAGTGCGGTGCGTTCAAGTCTGTAGACATTTAGACTCTTGAGATGTCAGCTTCTCTGTTATCTCAACTACAGCTGATTCTTTAAAGCTTCGAATAAAATGGTCCGAACGAGAAGTCGACCTCGTGGTTAAAAAGGCTTTTACTTCTAATTCACTGATATGACTTTATTGTTTATGCTTATTAGTTAACAGATATTTTATTGCCTGTTTTTGGTCCCAGTGATGTTTTTATGCTGCAGAAAAATAGATTTTAAACCATAAAGAGACTTCTGATGAAATAAAGGCAGAAGCTGTTTAAAATGTGTATCTTTTACAACCTTGAACTGTTTTCTAATTATATTTTGAGGGATTATGACTCATGTTTTTGTGGTTGTTCTTGTATTTCAGGTATTTGAAACAC